AGTAGAAAAAATATATTTGATACATACTTCTGATTTCAAAATACTTAAATCTAGGATAAGAAAATATGGTACAAGGATAAGAAGAGACAGGGCAATAGAATAGATTTGAAATTCCAGATATAAACCCTCATTTTTTGATTGATTCCTAGTTAAAGGTAACAAGAAAAATGAATATGAAAGGAATAGTCTTCTCTTATGGTTTGGATGAGGCAACCCTGAAAGTTCATGTAAGAGACAATGCAGGAATATTCAAAGCTGAAATGGCTAGATTACGAGTAGTGTAACCCACTCAATGGATTAGTCCATTAGCTGGATTACTAATTTGGCAGACTATTCTACTAAATGGTAACTAGGCATGTAAGCCGTGGCTTGGGGAAGTCAGTCACTGGGGATGGCTTTGGGGTTATATTTGATTCCTAGCTCCTCACCCATTTTTTTCTGCTTCATAGTTGCCACGAACTGAGAAGCTTTCTTCTGCCATGCATTTCCACCTTTATGTTCTGCCTCAGCAAAAGCCCAGAGCAATTGAGTAACTGATCATGGATTGAACTTTTGAAATTGTGAATCCTAATAAACTTTTCTTCTTCTAAGCTGTTGTTTTCAGGTATTTTGGTCACAGCAACAAAAAGCTTTTCATTTTTCTGCATGCTGAAATTCTCAAGAGTCTGAATATCAGCATGCAGAAAAATAATATTAGACCCTTACCTTACACTTCACACAAAAATTAACTAATTAAAAATGGATTATCCTTAAATATAAGAGTTTAAAGTATAAAATTTCTTGAAGAAAATAGAGTTTTAGCAATCCTTCTAACTTTAGATTAGGGAAAAGTTTCCTAAAGATGACACTGAAAGCAAAAGTGACATAAGAAAACATATCAATTAGTCTTTATCAAAATTAAAGAAACTATTTACAAATAATATCTGATAATGTAGTTGTATACAAAGTATATTAAAAAATGTTCTTACAAACTCAAAATAAAAAAAAAAGATAACTGAATTTTCAAGCTAAGGGTCTAAAGATTCACATAGCCAGAAAGCACATATTAAGATGATCACCCTCATTAGTCTTTAAGAAAATGCAAAACAAACACAACATGAGATACCCCTTCACAGCAACTGGAACTGTTAAGATAAAACCATATAAGGAATGGCTAGATGTGGTGGATTTATAACTCTAATGCATTGCTGGAGAAACTGTAAAGTAGTATATTTACTTCAGAAGATAGTTTGGCAGTTTTAGTAAAAGTTAACCATAGCATTGTCAGGTGTTACAGCAATTCCACTACTGGATGTATACTCAAAGAATTGAAGATACATTTCCATACACATATGTGCACATGAATGTTTATGGCATATTCATTAGAGTCAAAACAAGGAACAATTCATATGTCCATAATGTGAAGAACAAACAATGTGGAATCACCATACAATGAAATATTTGGCAATTAAAAAGAGAATGAAGAACAAACATTTGGTTCAACATAAAAATTCAAAATATTATGCTAAGTAAAATATACCAGTCACAAAAGATTTATCATTCTGTTAAAATGAATTTTCAAAAATTGATGAATCCACAGAGACAGAAAGTGTATCAGTGGTTTCAAGGCTCTGGGATAATGGGGAGGTACTGCAAATGGGCATAGATTTTTCAGGAGTGAAAACATTCTAAAATTAGATGGTGGTAATAGTTGAAATGTTCCATGAATATACTAAAATCTGTTGCATTGTACACTTCAAAAATGTCAAATATGATACGCAAATTATTTCTCAAAGTTATAAAAATATAAATTAGTAAGAGAATTCATAAATAAGAAGATGTCATATATAACATACATAGTATATAAATTGATAGCACATCTAGTGAATGCTATTTCCTTCCTGCATCCTGGTAAAGCTAATGTGAGTATAACATTAATAATAATACATGATCTTTAAAATCACAAATAGAATCACAATCAGAAAGATTACTTGACCCTAGACTTATTTTTATGCCCTACCCCAAATGCAAGTTAATATCTTAGATATAAACCAGCAATCTCTCAAAAATCTCAAGAATGATAAAATGACTATGACACTTTGTGCTAATTTAAGTGACAAAGTCTTCTGACACATTTATAAATTTAAGTCATTAGGAGTTCACAATTAGTGGTGTCAGAATCATCTAGAAAGACTGATTATGCCTCATGAATATTAAAATAAAGCATATTTTAATTAAGCCCTATTTTGTTGCTTGTCTTATTTACAATTCTTAATACCTCTGTATTAAGTGCAATATTTTTATTTAAATAAAAGCACTTCCACATTAGATAATAAATGAATATTTGAGTGTTCTCATTTTGTTTGATGCACGTTTTTAGAAAAATCTATTTTTGAACAAATAAGTGGACTAAGATAAGTGTTGAATTCTTCATACATACACACACCCATTTTTTTACTCAAGTTTGAATTGTGTGGGGTCCACTTATATGTGAATAATTTTTATGAGAGTTGTAGCAATTTGAAAAACCTTGCAGATAAACCATACAGACTGGAAATATCAAAAAATTAAACAAATGTAGATATGTCATGAATGAAAAAAACTCTGTATAGAAGAGTATTTTGTAATATACTACAATCTCTATGCACAAATTTATTTAAAAAGTTAAAGTTTATCAAATTTTAAGCACATACAGCACAACATGGCACCATTCATAGTAAAGAAATAAAAACAAAATGATGCAGTATTAAATCATACTGCATAAAATGAACTGTTCCGCATATTTTTCTACTGTAATAATTTAATCCTTACTTCTTGTTGCTAGTTGGTGAGCTCCAGTGTTGGGAACTGCCACTTAAAACACTGTGTGATAATAATCATCTTGGTATGAGTAGTTTGTCTCTCCAGTAAATTGAGTATCACAGTTTAAAAGTGATCTTTCACCATTCTTGGATATTTTTTGCAATATGATACATACAACATACAATGTCTGTTATCTATTTTTACTGATGGGACTTCTAGTCCAGAGCAGGCTCCAGGTTAAGTTTTGGGGAAATCAAAAGTTAAAGACTAATTATTGATTATACAAATGTTGGCAGCCCTATTCTCTGTATGATTCATAGGATAGGTAGGCAGATAGATAAGATAGATAGATAATTTCACATATATATTGAGACTGCATTATTTTGGGAGTGAAAACATCTCCTGATACCAGGGAGCTGGTAAGCTACTATAAACTAGGTTCACAGGGGATCTTGGTATTCTCCTGTTGAACATTTCAACAGACAAGGCCACTCTATGACCCCAATGGATCCTAACAGAAAGTAGACTAGATCATAATCATATCTGCAGAGTGATCACATCATACACATCATTCAAATGTAAAATTACAACCAGAATATTCCTCCATTGTAGCTAGCATGAGAAATTCCCCCTCTTTAAGAAAACTAGGCTTTTATCCCCTCTTGTCTTCTATCCTTCCAGGTAAGTTTTGTGAACTCAGACATAATAGAATTTTGCTCAATTTCTAACAAGCTCCTATCCAGAATGAAGTCTCACTTCTTAAACCCTGCCCCCAAAGTATATAACAGGATCAAACTTATAATTATTTCTAGCACCTGTGTGTAAGATTGCCATGGGTAAAGAGGGGTGTGCCTTTTTCCTCATTGCAGTGCATTACATTGCTGACTTCCCCCTCCACAGGTTTGCTCCTGCGTGTGTTTGGTGACTGTCTACATCACCAATGCCCTGTGATACATGATCTTTGGGAATTAAAGAACTACAGGCTAAAAAATACATATCAGCATCTTGATGAAGGAAATACTGTAAAATTTAAATATATTAGGAATTATAATTCATAGAATTATTTAAGAAAATCAAATATAGATAAATGTGACATTTTTTGTTTGTTGTCCATCAAAAAACTGGTTATTTCTCCTAGTACTAGACAGAGAGTCTATTATTATCAATTTGCAGTGATATACCATTTTTAGTAATTGATAATGTCACAAAAATAGCTCTGGATTTTTATATTTTTCTACATTTTAAATTAGTATCATCTATCAGTATTGTGGGTCTCCATGTTACCCAAATTAATTATTTATTTATTGTTATCTTCAAAATTTCAACCCAACTATTGTAAATTATGCAAGAATTTTGTTCTAATAAAGTAAATTGCCTACTGTTGACATTCTTAATCTTATATTCTACTTTAGTCACCAAAATTGAGGGACAAATTTTGAAAATCTTTAAATAATTAGTATAATCCAGAATTCTGAACTGTAATCATAGGGCAAAAGGAAGTGTATTAGTTATTTCCCAGGACATGTTGTGATTGTTTTGATTAATCCCTGGAAAATAATCATTTGAGTATATTTATATTTAATGATAATATTATTTTCTGTTATATCTATTATTTTCTTTTGCCTCCATGACTAGAAGTAAAGCATTCTGATTATAATACTTGTGATCTTGCATACACTTGAGAGATCTGATATTTACTGAATGAATCAAGAAGTACAAGTTAAATAACAATGCAATATATTTGTTTGTCAATTGTTAGTATTGAATAATATTCAACTATAGAACACAGTGATCATTTATGTTGTAAAACTTGGCACTAATTTTACTAAAATAATACAGACTCCTGATAATATCTGGGTAACAGACTGAATATTTTAATTCAATTGACCCATTCCTTCCTAGTCATATTGTGTGAATGGTCCACAACAGCACTGAGATGAAAAAACACACTTTGAAGAAATAAATGCATCTGTTACATGCCCACATCTGCAAATTGCCTTTCCAAGCTAAATTTGTTTATTCCTTTGCTGATTTGACATCTGGACTTTGGTATTTGCAAATTTCAAGCTAATGTGACACTGTCACATCAAGAAATGACTCTTCATCTTTGGATGGTTCTTTTAATTAAATGGAAAAGTGAAAATAGTATCTGGATGCATCCCAAGGACATTCAGCAGTCCAAGTAATTTCATGAAGAAAACTAAAAATATATTACTCACCGATAGCTTTTGTAAAGGTCAGTACAGGTGGAATTGTTCTTGCAAGGATTCTTTTTGCACTCATTGGTTTCTTGTTCACAAAAAGTTCCTTCCCAATCAGACAGGCATGCATGGCAGCTCTAAGAGAGTATGAAAATTATAAAACTGTTATTTATTGTTATTTTACCTATCATCCAGTCATCACTCTTAGCTATTCTGATGTCTCTGGCAATTTGTAATCTTGTTTTCAGTTTTAATAAAACATCTATTCTCTCCCCAAATGATTTTTACTCCAATGAAAATTTATGGGAACCACATTGCTTTATATATAATTCAATAAAATATTGTAGTTTGTCAATACAATCTATATAACATTAACATTTTGTACATCATGACCACAATATATAACTATCATCTTGCTAATTTTTTTAAAAAAGTAGTATATTATTAAAGTGATTGTTACTAACATGAACAAAACTAAAGAAATATTTTTGCAGCTTAGCAACTAGATCACAAGTTAAAAAAAATAAAAGTACAAAAAGTGAGCCTTCTGAATATATTCATAATATTACTGACAAATAAGTAACATAAATTTCAGTAATAATAGTAAATTAAAATGTAAAATTTTGCATGACATTTCACACAAAGAGTTCATGTAAAACAATATTATTCACATTACAAAGGTCTTGTTTTTCCTGTGTTAGGTAAACAAACAAAAACCTCAAATTACTGAAGAGCAATAGTTAGTTACTAAATAAAAAATACTTTGAAGAATATATCTTTGTGATAAATTAGAATTCAGGCATTTATGTTTAGAGAGTCTAAAGAAAGTATTATGAAAAATGCCAAAATCAATGATAGTTGTTATCTACATCTTCAGTTTTCAGTAGAAGTAGCAACTAGATTTAAGTGGTTAGAGAGCATTGAAAATGGCTAGTACTGATATATGCCCTAAATAAAATATATATATACGTTGGATTTTGAAAATTCACTATGAATAAAACTAATGGCAAGTATGACATTTACAACCTTTTTACTTACCTGTAAAAATAGCAATAGTTAGGATAAACATTTTGAAACAAAAATATTATTAAACCTAATTTTACCTGCTTTTAAATTTCTTTTAATGTGATATCTAGAAAAGCTGAATTACACACTTGCATTTATATTGCAAGGAGCAATGCTAGATGACATCAACACAGTCTCTCCATTTGTGAATAAAGCCTATACAGTTATAAACAGGTATATGAGGAGCGAGAGTTCCACGAGATTAGAGAATGAGACTTAGTTTAACACATCTCAGTGTCTTGGAAATTTCCAGGATACATGCTTAAGTTATGTTGGTTGAATAAACAAAAAATGAATAAATAAAACAAAATAAGCAACATAATGTAAAGACTACAATTAGTACTCGGATTTCAAATGGAGTCTATTACTTTTACTCATTATAGACAACAAATTTATTTTAAACTTAGTGAAACATCATATTATCAGAAGAACAAAAAAAAAAAATGCATGCTTTATGTATGGTGCACCTAAATTAGGATAATTCAAATATGTAAGTTTCATTTGGTGCCCTGTTTTGGCTTACTGGGGCCATATGATTTTCAATGCTATATAAGTAGCTGAAAAGCTGGGATATGAAGACACACTAATGTCAACACTGGGCTTCATTCCTGCAATGTGTATTAATTATCCACTCAATGTGTATTAATTTCCACTCAAAGTAGAAACTAGTTTTCATGATTTGCTGGGGTTTTGCATCAATTTCACATGTTTTGTGCTCCATACATTGCTCTTATTCCCTGAGTAAGGTACCTCAGATTTCATGAGTTGTGTTTGGCTTACTTTTGGTAAATGCTAAAAGAGCACATATGCAAATATTGAATGCAATGATAAAATTTTATCATCATGCTATTTGTAGTAGACACTCTTCTTCAACATAAAAGAGAATGCTGACTCTGAAACTGGGGAAAACTGCCTCATTCAGCAGTGGAGACCAGAACAGAATAGACTGGGCAGAACAGGAATAAATTCTGATGGGCAAATCATGTCTCTTTAGTTCTAATCTGAAATTTCACTTTTTAATAGGTATGAATCACTTTTTTAAAGACAAAAGCACAAAAAAAAATTACTGGTTTTAATTTTACTGTATCTCTAATACAGAGAATCAAAAAACAGTTATATTTCTTTCTCATTAAATATGTTTATTTCATAAAAGTTAATAATTTTGGCATTTTGTATTTAATAATTAATAGAAAATTATCATAATTTCAGGGTATACTTATCATTAAAGTATTAGATATTATAGTAGTGATCTGTAAATATGATGGAATCTGTACAAAGTGGAAACATGAAAGAATAAAGAAAATATATTTTTAGATATTTTAAAACATTAAATAAATGAATGTTGATGGAAACAAGAAAGAGTATAAAATAGAAACAACCCAGAGTTCAACTATGTCTACTCATCAGTAACCTACTTGTGTTAGAAGCATATTTTAAATTTTGAAATTCTTTTTAAAAGTGTTTTTTTTCATGAAGCATTAACAAGTTAATTTCAGCAATGTTGAATAATGACTTAAGGTAAAATACTATTTTTAAACCAGACTGTGAATTTATAAAATATGATAATATTTTTAAGCCACTTTTGGTAGAGGAGGAAAATGTATTTAAAACATATTTATATAAAAGAATAAAGGTTTGCACAATTTGGAAAATTAGATCCTCGTGATTTTTATCTTCTGTTACAGAGTAGTCATTATGCTTACTGAAAAATGCATACAAAGCACTTTCTCCAAATTGATAATATGCAGATAAGAAGGAGACAATAAAGATAAAGACAATAAAAGATGACCTGGGTCCAATATATTGAATTCAATAGCCAGTGAGACAAAAGAGACAAAGCCCCCAATTTAATGGTAAAAATTCAATGAACTCTATTGTAATTTAGTTTTTCAGATCAACAAATATGGTAAGTGTCTATTACTGGGAACAAGTATCACAAAGTAAGAAGGGTAGTACAATTATGAATATGAATTTTGAAGTTAGAGTGTGTTTAAGTTGTGAAAACCATCTTTTTGCTGTTCATTATCTATTGTTATAAGTTTTATATTGCTGCATAAAAAATAACAATTCTATAATCCTCCAGAAAATTTATATATATATATATATAAAGTGCTAATGGCATCTACTTCATAGGCTGATATTTAGTGGCATGAAATGATATCATTGTATCACTTTATAGTTTCCTTGTTTAAGTGTGCAAATATCAGATACTTATATGCTCTGTTTGGGTTTACCAGGCTGAAATCAAGGTATTGACTGGGGCTATGATCTCATTTAGGATTGGGAGTTGTTCAAAATCAGTGTAGTAGTAGCAGCTTTTATTTCATTCTTCCTGTAGGACTTAGGTATCTATTTTTCTTGTTAGGTGCCAAACAAGGATGTCTCTCAGCATTCAGAAGCTGTTCTGAGGCCTTTGACTCATCCCTTTGTAGCATGACCACACTCCTTCATGGTCAACAGAAAAGCTGCTGCATGTCCCTTCAAAGTCCCATCAAACTAGGTCAGCACAACATAGGATACTCTCCTGTTTGACTAAATCAAGGGCAACTGATTGGAGTTCTTAGTTACACTTACAAAATACCTTTTCCATATAGTTTAACATATTCATAGGAGGAATGTCATATTCATAGCTTCCACCCACACTCAGGGCATGAGTAACAGGAGGCCTTAGTCCTGAGGACCATCTTATAATTTTGCCCACCAAATCTACTAACCTTAAATTCTCTAAGAAAAATTTTAAAAGAGGAATAAAGTAGACAGATATGAGAAAAAATAAATTGAAAAAAATCATTCAAGAAGAAATAGAAAATCATGCTAAACCATGGAATATTTCATAATGCACCAAAGTAGGAAGATTGGTGGTTGAATCACAGGACTCAAAGAAAATTATTTCCAAATCTTTATGCCATACAGGTGCAAAGAACAGTAAAGCAGGGAAACTGCTGACCTTATTTTTTTTAGACTAGTAATATCTATCTTTTAAAATCCGGCAAACATGTAAGAAGAAATGCAAATACAGACAATTTCACTCATGATTAAGAAAATAATACATATTATATATTCATTTTATGATATCTTAAGCTTAAATTTATATAATGCAAGGGTAAAAGTTTTTGTAGAAATATAAGTATGTATCAATACAAAAAAATCTATAAATAAAAGCAAAAATAGTTTGATTATTTCAGATGCAAAAAAATCATAAAATTCAATACATATTGATGAAAACTCTCAGCACATTGGAATTTAATTAGAATGTCTATATATTAATCAAAAGTGATCTGCAAAATTATCATGCAAGCCAGAACTATGCCAGACATCAGTTTTCCAAATATAACTAGACAAATTTAATAACATAATATAGAACCATTTTGAATTATTTTATTTAAAAAATTAATTGGTGCATATTAATTATATAGAATAATGGGTTTAATTTGTAATAGTTGTACATGTATATAACATAATTTGATTGATTTCACTCCCCAAAAACCTCCCCTTAATCTTCCCTGCTCAATCCCTCTAATCCCTTTTCTCTACTGTAATGGTTCTCCCTCCTACTTTCATGACAACTTTTTTTTCTAGATTCTACACATAAGAGAAAACATACCATATTTGTCTTGACCTATCAGGAGCTCCCATTTTAAAAATATCTCTTCTGACTTTGTCTTTTTGTATCTGGCTTATTTCATTTAACTTGATGTTTTCCAATTCCTTTCATTTTCATGCAAATGACTTATGTTATTTTATTATTCATAATATTTATGGCTGAATATAACTCCATTATATAACTCCAGTGGCTCTGAAGGTGGAGGCATGAGGATCAGGAGTTCAAAGCCAGCCTTAGCAATCTAAAGAGGCACTAAGCAACTCAATGAAATCCTGCATCTAATAATATATAAAATAGGGTAGGGGTTGACTCAGTGGTCAAGTGCCCCTGAGTTCAATCCCTGGCACCCCTCTCCCCCAAAAAAAACTCCATTATGTGTGTGTATGTGCATATATGTATCACATTTTCTTTGCCCATTCAACTGTTGATGGATACCTAGACTGCTTCCATAACTTATAATTGTGAA